GAGTGGAGAATTGCAGCTGAAGCACAAAATGTGTCTGATAACGAGCAGAAATTACAATAAGAAGCATTTTAGATCTGAGTTTACAAAACACAGCAAGATACACTACATGGCCAAAAGTATGTGGAAACCTGCTCGTCGAACATCTCATTCCAAAATCATGGGCATTAATATGGAGTTGGTCCTCCCTTTGCTGCTATAACAGCCTCCACTCTTCTGGGAAGACTTTCCACTAGATGTTGGAACATTGCTGTGGGGGTTTCCATTCAGCAACAAGATCATTAGTGAGGTCGGGCACTGATGTTGCGCGATTAGGCCTGGCTCGCAGTCGCCGTTCCAATTCATCCCAAAGGTGTTTGATGGGATTGAGGTCAGGGCTCTGTGCAGGCCAGTCAAGTTCTTCCACACCGATCAACAAACCATTTCTGTATGGACCTCGCTTTGTGCACGGGGGCATTGTCATGCTGAAACAGGAAAGGACCACAAAGTTGGAAGCACAGAATTGTCTAGAATGTCATTGTATGCTGTAGAGTTAAGACTTCCCTTCACTGAAACTAAGGGGCCTAGCCCGAACCAAGAAAAACAGCCCCAGACCATTATTCCTCCTCCACCAAACTTTACAGTTGGCACTATGCATTCGGGCATGTAGCGTTCTCCTGACATCCGCTAAACCCAGATTCGCCTGTCGGACTGCCAGATGGTGAAGCGTGATTCATCACTCCAGAGAACGCGTTTCCACTGCTCCATAGTCCAATGGCGACAAGCTTTACACCACTCCAGCCGATGCTTGGCATTGAGCATGGTGATCTTAGGCTTGTGTGCGGCTGCACTGACTTGAAGGAAAGGTGCCATCCTATGACGGTGCCACATTGAAAATCACTGAGCTCTTCAGCAAGGGCCATTCTACTGCCCGTGTTTGTCTATGGAGATTGCATGGCTGTGTGCTCGATTTTATACACCTGTCAATAACGGGTGTGGCTGAAATAGCCGAATCCACTAATTTGAAGGGGTGTCCACATACTTTTCTTTTGCGTTTTATATATTTTTTCCTGCATGTAAAACGAATAATTCTGCATTAACGCGACCCCTAAGTTTAACTTGCTAGTTCTCTAAGTAAGTGGCTGAATTAATAAGGTGACTGGGCATCATATCGTGTTGGCTTTCTGCCGTGTTTGAGAAGTCAAAGCCCTTTGGATGAGTTCTCTTTTGATTTCCTTGCATTTTTTCTCCTCTCAGTTCTCAGCCAGTCCGCTCCTCCCCCATTTTCTCCGAACAGACCAGGCAGGCCTGTTGCCCTGGTGACGCCAGACTCCACACAAACCACAAACACAGCGTGAACACATGCTGCTCCAGAGCCAGTACTCTTCATTTGCACAATGTCTCCCATTCACATTCGCTTGTAAAATGTCCAAACTCACCAAAAATGACATTCGGCAGCTCCTACCTAGAGTACCAGTCAAAAGTTTGGACACGCCTACTCATTCAAGGGTTTTTCTTTATTTTTACTTTTTTTTTTTTTTACATTGTAGAGTAATCATGAAGACATCAAAACTATGAAACACATATGGAATCATGTAGTAACTAAAAAAGTTTTAAACAAAATCAAAATATATTTTATATTTGAGATTCTTCAAATAGCCACCCTTTGCCTTGATGACAGCTTTACACACTCTTGGCATTCTCTAAACCAGCTTCACCTGGAATGCTTTTCCAACAGTCTTGAAGGAGTTCCCACATATGCTGTGCACTTGGCTGCTTTTCCTTCACTCTGCCATCCGACTCATCCCAAACCATCTCAATTGGGTTGAGGTAGGGGGATTGTGGAGGCCAGGTCATCTGATGCAGCACTCCATCCCTCTCCTTCTTGGTAAAATAGCCCTTACACAGCCTGGAGGTGGGTTGGGTCATTATCCTGTTGAAAAACAAATGATAGTCCCACTAAGCCCAAACCAGATGGGATGCAGATGGGATATCGATGCAGAATGCTGTGGTAGCCATGCTAGTTAAGTGTGCCTTGATTTCTAAATAAATCTCAGACAGTGTCACCAGCAAAGCACCCCCACATCGTAACACCTCCTCCTCCATGCTTTACGGTGGGAAATACACATGCAGAGATCATACATTCACCCACACCGCATCTCACCAAGACACAGCGGTTTGAACCAAAAATCTCCAATTTGGACTCCAGACCAAAGGACACATTTCCACTGGTCTAATGTCCATTGCTCGTGTTTCTTAGCCCAAGCAAGTATATTCTTCTTGTTGGTGTCCTTTAGTAGTGGTTTCTTTGCAGCAATTTGACCATGAAGGCCTGATTCACACAGTCCCCTCTGAACAGTTGATGTTGAGATGTGTCTGTTACTTGAACTCTGAAGCATTTATTTGGGCAGCAATTTCTGAGGCTGGTAACTAATGAACTTATCCTCTGCAGCAGAGGTAACTCTGGGTCTTCCATTCCTGTGGCGATCCTCATGAGAGCAAGATTCATCATAGCGCTTGATGGTTTTTGTGACTGCACCTGAAGAAACTTTCAAAGTTCTTGGAATTTTCAGTATTGACTGACCTTCATGTCTTAAAGTAATGCTGGACTGTTGTTTATCTTTGCTTATTTGAGCTGTTCTTGCCATAATATGGCCTTTGTCTTTTATCAAATAGGGCTATCTTCTGTATACACCTTGTCACAACACAACTGGCTCAAACGCATTAAGAAGGAAACTATTTCCACAAATTAACTTTTAAGAAGGCACACCTGTTAATTGAAATGCATTCCAGGTGACTACCTCATGAAGCTGGTTGAGAGAATACCAAGAGTGTGCAAAGCTGTCATCAAGGCAAAGGGTGGCTATTTGAAGAATCTCAAATAACATATTTTGATTTGTTTAACACTTTGGTTACTACATGATTCCATATGTGTTATTTCATAGTTTTGATGTCGTCACTATTATTCTACAATGTAAAAATTTTTTAAAAAGAAAAACCCTTAAATGAGTAGGTGTGTCCAAACTTTTGACTGGTAGTGTATATACAGTGGGGGAAAAAAGTATTTAGTCAGCCACCAATTGTGCAAGTTCTCCCACTTAAAAAGACTAGAGAGGCCTGTAATTTTCATCATAGGTACACGTCAACCAGAAAATCACATTGTAGGATTTGTTATGAATTTATTTGCAAATTATGGTGGAAAATAAGTATTTGGTCAATAACAAAAGTTTCTCAATACTTTGTTATATACCCTTTGTTGGCAATGACACAGGTCAAACGTTTTCTGTAAGTCTTCACAAGGTTTTCACACACTGTTGCTGGTATTTTGGCCCATTCCTCCATGCAGATCTCCTCTAGAGCAGTGATGTTTTGGGGCTGTCGCTGGGCAACACGGACTTTCAACTCCCTCCAAAGATTTTCTATGGGGTTGAGATCTGGAGACTGGCTAGGCCACTCCAGGACCTTGAAATGCTTCTTACGAAGCCACTCCTTCGTTGCCCAGGCGGTGTGTTTGGGATCATTGTCATGCTGAAAGACCCAGCCACGTTTCATCTTCAATGCCCTTGCTGATGGAAGGAGGTTTTCACTCAAAATCTCACGATACATGGCCCCATTCATTCTTTCCTTTACACGGATCAGTCGTCCTGGTCCCTTTGCAGAAAAACAGCCCCAACGCATGATGTTTCCACCCCCATGCTTCACAGTAGGTATGGTGTTCTTTGGATGCAACTCAGCATTCTTTGTCCTCCAAACACGACGAGTTGAGTTTTTACCAAAAAGTTCTATTTTGGTTTCATCTGACCATATGACATTCTCCCAATCCTCTTCTGGATCATCCAAATGCACTGTAGCAAACTTTAGACGGGCCTGGACATGTACTGGCTTAAGCAGGGGGACACGTCTGGCATTGCAGGATTTGAGTCTCTGGCGGCGTAGTGTGTTACTGATGGTAGGCTTTGTTACTTTGGTCCCAGCTCTCTGCAGGTCATTCACTAGGTCCCCCCGTGTGGTTCTGGGATTTTTGCTCACCGTTCTTGTGATCATTTTGACCCCACGGGGTGAGATCTTGCGTGGAGCCCCAGATCGAGGGAGATTATCAGTGGTCTTGTATGTCTTCCATTTCCTAATAATTGCTCCCACAGTTGATTACTTCAAACCAAGCTGCTTACCTATTGCAGATTCAGTCTTCCCAGCCTGGTGCAGGTCTACAATTTTGTTTCTGGTGTCCTTTGACAGCTCTTTGGTCTTGGCCATAGTGGAGTTTGGAGTGTGACTGTTTGAGGTTGTGGACAGGTGTCTTTTATACTGATAACAAGTTCAAACAGGTGCCATTAATACAGGTAACGAGTGGAGGACAGAGGAGCCTCTTAAAGAAGAAGTTACAGGTCTGTGAGAGCCAGAAATCTTGCTTGTTTGTAGGTGACCAAATACTTATTTTCCACCATAATTTGCAAATAAATTCATTAAAAATCCTACAATGTGATTTTCTGGATTTTTTTTTCTCAATTTGTCTGTCATAGTTGATGTGTACCTATGATGAAAATTACAGGCCTCTCTCATCTTTTTAAGTGGGAGAACTTGCACAATTGGTGGCTGACTTAATACTTTTTTCCCCCACTGTATGTATAATGTTATGAGCTGGACTGCCTGCCTTTGTAATTACTTTCTCTCTCATTTGCGCTCCTTAGCATATTTAGCTAGGAGCCTCTATGGAAATGCACTATTACTTGTGCTAATTTTGTTAGCATTCTGGTAATAGACGCCAAATGGGCTTTTGGTGCCACTGTGTACTTAGCTGCTAATACAGTAAATCACAGGATGAGAGAAGGACGGTATGACGATATGACAATATTGATACCACCCAACACTAATTTGTAGTCTAAGATCGGCTTCTTCTGCTTATAGGCCACATTTCATAACACATTCAATGAACCTTTGAGAGCAACAAAGAATACTTGAAGTAGCCTAAAAAATAACAATTATTGGGCGGTTGTCTTATCCAGCATACATAATGAATATGAGGTTTAGATGAGCTTTGGAGAAAAGTTGCCGCCCACAGCAGAACTGGGTAAGATTCGACCATTGTGGGGATAGGGTCGGGGTTCCAGGTGTTTGGTGAATGGCAAAGGGAGGCTGTCCTCATATACCTGCAGTGGAATGAGGGGTACAGAGGGGGGTTCCGTGGGAACTGAGCAGAGTCCTTCACTTCAACACACACAGCTGTTCTTAAAATTTAGCTCCGTCTGTATTTTGCAGATTGGCTCCTCTTGTTGACTTTTCCATTTTCATTCAAATTAAAGTGGTAAAGCTGAATGGAGCCAGAAAAGATGGACCAGGGTAGAGTAGGAAGTTTGTAGATGTGCATGGATGGGATTCCTGCTTAGTCTTGGTTTTGCGATAGAAACAAGGTCTGTACTCGTGGGGGTTTCGACAAATCTTCCTGGCCAACCAAACTCACATTTTCTCTCAAAAGTCACTTGACACTAAACTCGTCTGACAGGATTGAGCACGTCTGTAGACTTGTAATGTGGTTTGACTTTGAGAATAACAGCTTCAGAAAAAGGAGAGTTGAGTGCAAACAGCAGCGTCCTCTAGTGGCGCATGGCAGTATCAAAAGAAAGAAAGAAGTGCCTCCCGAGTGGCGCAGTGGTCTAAGGCACTGCATCGCAGTGCTAGCTGTGCCACTAGAGATCCTGGTTCGAATCCAGGCTCTGTCGTAGCCGGCCGCGACCGGGAGACCCATGGGGCGGCTCACAATTGGCCCAGCGTCGTCCAGGGTTGGGGAGGGTTTGGCCGGCAGGGCTGTCCTTGTCCAATCACGCTATAGCGACCCCTGTGGCGGGCCGGGCGCAGTGCACGCTGACTCGGTCGCCAGGTGTACGGTGTTTCCTCCAACACATTGGTGTGGCTGGCTTCCGGGTGAAGCAGTGCGGCTCGGTTGGGTTTCAGAGGACGCACGACTCTCGACCTTCGCCTCTCCCGTGTCCGTACGGGGGTTGCAGCGATGGGACAGGGACTGTAACTACTACCAATTGGATACCACGAAATTGGGGAGAAAACGGGGGTAAAATACCCACCCCGCAAAAAAATAGAAAATAAAATAAGAAAGAACACGGTAAGTAAATGAGTTAGGTGGCAGACTCACCCATGGTGACGTAGGGAAGCTTGTCAGTGGAGCCATGGGGGTAGATGCTGTAGAGATGGGGACCGTTGCAGTCCACTCCACCTAGCACCAGGGCAGCGCCAATGTGACCCTGGTATCTGCGAATGCAACAATCAATGAACTGTTCCTTCTATTCTATTGACTCCTTTACACAACATATTGACACACGGCACCCCACAGGGCTGTCAAACGTATTCCATGGAGGGCCTTGGTTTTTCCTTTCAATTAAGATCTAGACAACCAGGTGAGGGGAGTTCCTTATTAATTAGTGACCTTAATCAATCAAGTACTAGGGAGGAGCAAAAACCTGCAGACACTCGGGGGGGGGGGGGCTGGATGGGTGGCATACCTGAAGAGCATCTGCTTGAGCATGCGGTTGGCAGTGGCCACGCGGGGCAGCCGGCTCGTGGAGAGGGAGTGCAGCTCCAGGTTAGAGGAGATGATCTGGGTGGTCATCTCAGTGTCTGCTGCCGTGCCCGCTCCACAGCAACTGGACAGACACGGAACAGAGTGGAGGTTAGGATTACGGAGTTGACATGCATTTATGAACCTACACTTTAAATAAATACTGATTTTAAATCACGTGACGCCTCTGATGTAGGCTAAAGACTAAAAAGGCAGGATGTGTTTCGACCAGTGTTCACTGAAACACCACGATACACAATAGAGATGTCATTCCCATTAACCAAACAGAATTCCTGTTACACAGTAGTACATCACAACCCTGTCAGGACATTCACCCTAGGGCTGGGCGGTATACCCTATTTTACTATATACACTGGTACTGCTGCATGGACTGGTTTGGGTTTTTAACTTTACCTTCTATAACAGTATATCAATGTCTGGCTTGTTAAATGTGACCTGCATCTCCGGCGGGTGTAATGTCCGTTTTTGTAGTTTACTCCGTTTGCTACCTTAGTCATCTTTCTCCTTCCTCCTGCTGCATGCCGCTAACCACACCAAGCCCCGCCCCCTGTCACTCAAGGAGAGAGCAGTTGCTCAACCAGAGACAAGAGCACTTTCTTGCCGTTCACTCTGCATGGTCAGATAGATGCAACAAGATGTTGGTGACATGCTGCTTTCCACTGTCTGCAAACTACTGTCTGCTAGTTTGTGTATTCTTAGCAAGTTGTTGCTAAAATAAATTGTGTTAGCCACTAATGCTTATCGCTAGTTAGCTGGCTAGCTAGCTTGCTAAATGTAATAAGAGTCAGAGCAAACGTAGCTAGCTAACTAATACAGCCTGGTACCTGTGCTGGTGTAGGCATAGATAAGCATGTTGTTTGTGCAACGGTATTTTATAAAATCAGAGAAGAATAGGCAAAGCATGAATATTAATTAATTAATTATTAATTAATTAATTAATTAACTTATTTAGCAGACGCTCTTATCCAGAGCGACTTACAGGAGCAATTAGGGTTAAGTGCCTTGCTCAAGGGCACATCGACAGATTTTTCACCTAGTCGGCTCGGGGATTAGAACCAGCGACCTTTCGGTTACTGGCACAACGCTCTTACCCACTAAGCCACCTGCCGCCCAATATGTTAGCAAGCTAGCTACATGAGGTAAGAAAACATGTAATGTAACATCTAATTAGGGTCACCTGGAAACACTGACCAACACTTTGGTTCCTAACCTGTCAATAATTCCTCCCTGGCTTACTGTATTCATTCGTTCTTTGTTATTTCAAACAATGTATTCAAGGTGCTGCCCACGATATTCCAACTATAGAATTAGAATAATCATTTTATTTCCATGATTCCAACAGTTATCCAATTAACTAGGCCTAGATGTTTGCCCATATCATGCAGCCCTGCGTAGCACAGTGGGGAAATTATAATAAAAGTGCCAAAATTGATGAAAATGCAGACTATTTTTGTTTGGAGTTAGAATGAAACAGTATAAAACAATCAGAATGGAGAAAACCCCATTGAAATCACTTATAATGTATATGTTGCCACCCTAGGGTCTAAATGTGCTTTATGAACTACTCAAAACACATTTAGAACTTTTATTATTGAAAAACGTAAAATACTGTCAATAATGTGAAAAATATCTCATGATATTTTGGCCATATTGCCCAGCCCTAACTCACACAACTCTAATCTTAAAACATGAAAAAAAAATATGGGAAAAGGGGCCCCTTACTAGATGTTAGGGGAGATGTAGTGGATCTTGGAGCAGTTCTTATCTGCCACAATCATGCCCTCTGTGGCCCTGGTGTCAGCACCAAGAACTAGCCCATCCTACAGGGACGGAGAAAAACAAGTTCAATCAAGTAGCTTTTTTAAATGAGTGAATGTAGCCATATTGCATGCATTTCTTGCTCAATGTTTGATAGCTCTCAAGTCAAAATGTGGAGTTTTATATATTAAATCAAACTTAACCACCTACAGGATAATGGAAGGAATGGTGGAATTATAGAGCGCTCAGCCTGAACTTAGGCTACTTCAGGAAAGTAGCTTAAGTTCATCACTATGGCAGAGGTGAAATAAATAGGCAAACAGTTATCCTTACCTTAAAAACAACCCCACAGATTGTGGTGCCTGTTTTCCGGGCAGCGGGTATGTTGCATCCTAATTTGGTAACTTCAGCTTCCAAGACTGCATTCCTAAAACAACAGAAACATGGTCAGAAACTGTGCATGCTAGAAAGTCATTGACACATGACTTCAGTACTTCATGGGCCCTTGATGACTATGCATTAGAGGCTGCTGCTGCCTATTGAAATGGAACACTAGTCACTTTAATACTGTTTACATATCTTGTACTACTCATCTCATATGTATATACTGTATTTTATTCTATAATACTCTACTGTTTCTTAGTCCATGCCGCTGTCATTGCTTGTCCATATATGTATATATTCTTAAATTCCATTCCTTACTAGATTTGTGTGTATTGGTTATATGTTGTGAAATTGTTACATATTACTTGTTAGATATTACTTTACTGTCGGAGCTAGAAGCAGAAGCATTTCGCTACACCCGCAATAACATCTGCTAAACACGTGTATGTGACAAATACAATTTGATCTTGTCACATTTAACACGAATGTGTTCAAATGGTAGCCAATTCGATATAAAATGTAGCTAATCCATAATATTCTACAACCATTGCACACAACAATCTTAGATAACGATCTGGCCAGGTAAATTGATAGGGTTCTAACTAAAATATGCTGTATCATAGGCGGGCAGCGATGCGGCGGGTTGAGTGCAAGCCAAGTCAACGGGAAATTAGATGGATGTCAAACTTGACACCAAAAATCTTACAAGTCAATATGTATTTTCATTTATAAATGCAACACGGTTGTGACTTAAACAACTTGTAGCTAGCTAGCAAGTTGGCTAATTTAGCCAACTAACTACGGTATGTATCGTTTTCCGCTTGCAGGTTAATAATACTGGCTGGCTACTATTATTGGCTCGATAGCTAGCCTAGCTAATACTCAAACTGTGGCTAACTTTGTCAGGTTTACTTCTGGGAGTTTGAAAACGGAGTATTCATCACCACGTGTAAATTGTCGCAGCCTACGAAATCATTTTGTAACATTTTTTCCGCTATTCTTTCATTTATCACTTACTCTAGAAAAATAGCGTTGAGAAATGTCTGAGTCATTCAAGCAGGCCGTGAAGAGGACGGAGCGGCCCGACATCAAATAACTCAACACAGAGAATACATTTCTAAATTATCTCCAAATCTAAAAGTCACTAAACACGTGGACATGCGCCTCTCTTTTTGTAATCTCACTGAATCCTTACCTCTTGCAATTTTCGAAACTGAAACCTCCGAGCTGCGGCTGGCACACTGACAGAGTCGCCATTTTTCCTGTACTGAATTCCAGCTTCCGGGAAGCGTGCCTCACTAAAAGCGCTAACTTCTCCCTGGGTTACACCGATTGTCCTCCGGAATACCTGAAAGAAATGAAGTTATGAAAAGTTATAGGTCCTTGTGACAAGTGGTTTACATTTCTTCATTACATATCTCCTCTTATTTTTAATATGGGTGCTGTAAAATATTAGTTTCTTTAAAAACATGTGAAGAGTGAGGCTGAAGGATAATGAAAATTTATCAGAAACAGGTAGGCCTACTGATAGCTATCACAAATTGGCTGAATAATGTCAAGTAGTCTACCCATTCAGCCGTGCATAGCCCTAAATGAGCTTCCTTATCCATAAATAAGGAGAGGTGTGCATCTACATTTTACCACTGGAGGTCAGTAGGTCCAAAGAATAAAACATAGCCCTGTTCCAACAGAAAACAACAGCCTAGCAGTGGATTGCTTGAATGACCGCCAACCACACAGCCCCCTCTCCCACCAAAGAGGGTCCATGCTGCCCCTTTTTCTCATCAAATCTAGGGTCAAAGTTGAAGTGTCGCTAGTGTCACGAAAGCTCACAATTGGGTCTGCTCTTTGAACCAATCACTGTTGTCTTTGTTGGTTATAAACAGGACCAGTTACCAAGAGTTCCGAGCTATGGCATAAAATGCACCAATCATATGTGGCAAGAGAACACAGAGCTTTGGTTATTAACCAATATCATTTTAAACACTAGATCCACAAAAGGTAAACACACTCACATTGAGACACACACATTGAGATGTGCATGCATGCATGCACGCAGAAACACAGACACACACACACACACACACACACACACAGCTATTCAAACACTAGGACTCAGAATGCTTTGAGATATAAGCGCAAGATCTATGACTGCACTATATATTCAGCAAAAAAAAACAATTTGAACTCAGCTACTTCACAATGACCCTCCACAGAGCTCCTTTGTTGTCCTTTGCTCCAAAAGCTGTGGCCTTCATACCTGACCCCAAATATGGAGAGAGAACATTAAAGAGCGAAGAGATAGAATGTTGACGAGGAGGAGAGAGATAGAAATATATAGCAGCTTTGAGAATGAAAAAAGCACTTTTATGAACAAATGTATTATAAGAAGCTGTGGTGTAAACAACTCTCATCCCTGGTACAGAGGTCTCTATCACAATGTGCCTAGAATATATCTGTATTAAATCATTACCACAGACAATGTATGGAGTCCTGTATGGATGCGCTCAAGGCCACTGCGTTTCAGAGCGAAATATGGAGACTACTAGTGTTTTGGGTAGGATTGGAATTATCGATAAAACTTTAGCCTGCAGGTATAATGCATTCGCTCATGATTATTCTGACTAAATAACATACATTTTCTGTTGAAATGTCCTACGTAGAGACACATAACATATTATAAACCTTAGAATAGTGCAAATGATCTTGTAAATCCAGGAGGGTGGCTGTGGTGGAACAGTTTGAGAGCTTCAAGTTTCTTGGTGTCCACATCACCAACAAACTATCATGGTCCAAACACACCAAGACAGTTGTGAAGAAGGCACGACAAAGCCTATTCCCCCTAGGGAGACTGAAAAGATTTCGCATGGGTCCTCAGATCCTCAAAAAGTTATACAGCTGCACCATCGAAAGCATCCTGACTGGTTGCATCACCGCCTGGTATGGCAACTGCTCGGCCTCCGACCGCAAGGTACTACAGAGGGTAGTGCGTACGGCCCAGTACATCACTGGGGCCAAGCTTCCTGCCATCCAAGACCTCTATACCAGGCGGTGTCAGAGGAAGGCCCTAAAAATTGTCAAAGACTCCAGCCACCCTAGTCAAGTTGAATGCACCAATTTGTAAGTCGCTCTGGATAAGAGCTTCTGCTAAATGACTTAAATGTAAATGTAATAGACTGTTCTCTCTGCTACTGCACGGCAAGCGGTACTAGAGCGCCAAGTCTAGGTCCAAAAGGCTTCTCAACAGCTTCTACCCCCAAGCCATAAGACTCCTGAACAGCTAATCATGGCTACCCGGACTATTTGCACTGCCCCCCCCACCCCACCCCATCCCCCTCTTTTACGCTGCTGCTACTCTGTTTATTATTTATGCATAGTCACTTTAACTCTACCCACATGTACATATTACCTCAATTACCTCGACTAGCCGGTGCCCCCGCACATTGACTCTGTACCGGTACCCCTCTGTATATTGCCTCCCTACTGTTATTTTACTTGACTGCTGCTCTTTAGTTATTTGCTTTTATATTTTTTACTTAACACTTTTTTCTTTTTCTTAAAAAAAAAAAAAAAAAAACTGCATTGTGGGTTAAGGGCTTGAAGTAGGCATTTCACTGTAATGTCTACACCTGTTTTATTCGGCGCATGTGGCAAATAAAATTTGATTTGATTTTTGATTTGATATGCGATAGCAGTCCAAAGTAGGTAGCATAATATGCTAATGTGTGAAGAAACATGGCTCGCCTTACCCAGATTTGTTAAAATATCATAATCAGGGACCCTTTGATTTCAAATAATATGGGTATTTATTTTATTTTTTATTTTACCTTTATTTAACTAGGCAAGTCAGTTAGGAACAAATTCTTATTTACAATGACGGCCTACACCGGCCAAACCCGGACGACGCTGGGCCAATTGTGCGCCGCCCTATGGGACTCCCAATCACGGCCGGTTGTGATACAGACTGGAATCGAACCAGGGGGTCTGTAGTGACGCCTCAAGCACTGAGATGCAGTGCCTTAGACCGCTGTATGTATGGGAACTCCTACTTGAAGTGGTAATCTAACCACTCACTCTAGGGATGATGAATAAAACAGCATAGGTCATCCACAATTAAACATACCCTAAAAAAATGAAATGGGACAGAGAAAGTTACTAGGCAGACAATGGGCTGTTAGTCATTCTCTATGAATGTTAGCACAGATTCCATCCCATAGAAATATAACCTATAGAAAGGGCTTGGAACCTCTAAGATTCTATTTCTATGTTCCAGCCTACCAAAGGTTATTGTTACAGTAGATGTAAAGTGTTGTACTATACAGTACAATGTTGTACTATAAGATACTATACATTTTTACATTTACCAGACGCTCTTATCCAGAGCGACTTACAGTTAGTGAATACATATTTTTTTATACTGGCCCCCCGTGGGAATCGAACCCACAACCCTATCAACTGAGCTACATCCCTGCCGGCCATTCCCTCCCCCCCTACGCTGGACGACGCTTGGCCAATTGTGCGCCGCCCATGAGTCTCCCGGTCGCGGCCGGCTGCGATAGAGCCTGGATCCGAACCAGGATCTCTATTGGCACAGTTAGCACTGCGATGCAGTGCCTTAGACCACTGCGCCACTCAGGAGTACAGCACAATGTTGTACTATAAGATATTATACAGTACAATGTTGTACTACAATATACTATACAGTACAATGTTGTACTATAAGATACTATACATTATACAACGGGTGGGTCTACTCATGAATGCTGATTGGTTAAAACCGCATTCCAGCCAGTGTCTATTCCACAAATTACCACCAGCGAAATCTATGACGTTCAAATGCCTATTTAAACTGTTCCATTTGACTGCTCAATCCACTGTCTCATCAACCCAGTCAGGCACTTTATAAACTTGATCTCCACTATAAAAAGCATCTAGACATTATCTCACATTTCTTTTAGACTAACGTTTAGTTTTCAACAGTGGAGATTTGTATACACCTTGCTGTCTGTCTCTCCGACATTTGCAACATTGTTTCAATGTTTCAGTGTTAAACGTGTCGGGAGTCCGGACGAGACAGAAAGGCAGGTAGTGTTTCTCAGCCGTTCGAAATCGTGAATCAGCTGGCATCATTTTTATGGATATATACAACAACAAAAATGTCCATTGAAAAAAGGTACAACGAAACACAGCCAATTAGCAGTCTTTCCAGCTTCAGTTTGAAGCGATTGTGTTAGCTGTGTTGTTGGCTAGCTCCTCTGAACAACAGTGGCCTGACGAGTGAGCACATTCTCAATGCCAGGCGAAATCACTCCTCATTAGCTCATTGTTATGGATGTATCCAAATAAATGTCACTAGAAAACAGCTTAAACAAATGCAAATGCCGCTACTTCGCTGTTTTTCTGGCGGAACTTTTTGACTTGACTGTAAGTTAGCCGTAGTTGGCTGGCTAGCTAGCAAGCAAGGGATAATAACGTTCCCAGCCAGTATGGCAATGGAACATTTAGAACGAACGACTGGGTCGCGTCCATAGATCCAGAACAAAAATACTGAATGACTGGGTCGCGTCTATAGACACAGAACAAAAAGACTGAATGACTGGGTCGCGTCCATAGATACAGAACAAAAAGACTGAATGACTGGGTCGCGTCCATAGATACAGAACAAAAAGACTGAATGACTGGGTCGCGTCTATAGATACAGAACAAAAAGACTGAATGACTGGGTCGCGTCCATAGATACAGAACAAAAAGACTGAATGACTGGGTCGCGTCCATAGATACAGAACAAAAAGACTGAATGACTGGGTCGCGTCCATAGATACAGAACAAAAAGACTGAATGACTGGGTCGCGTCCATAGATACAGAACAAAAATACTGAATGACTGGGTCGCGTCCATAGATACAGAACAAAAAGACTGAATGACTGGTTCGCGGCCATAGATACAGAACAAAAAGACTGAACGACTGGGTCGCGTCTCTAGCAACCCTAGATTTGTGTCGGGACTATATCTTGTGGAAGGATGAAATAGTACGAATAAATTAATTAAAATAACGTAATAATAAAATAATGAAAATATGTCAATCATTATTTGAATATGTTGGTAACCCGTTGTATAAAAGTGATAATGCCCTCGAAGCCGGTGTTTGTTGGATATATTGGCACGGTTTTGTCGGCCCTTGAGAGGAACGTGCCAATACATCCAACAAACGCTGGCTTCTCGGGCATTATCACTTAAGTACAATGTTGTACTGTAAG